GGAACGCGGGCGCCCGGCCTGCAAGTGTGTCCTCGCGGGGCCCGGGCTCCGGCCGCTGACCCGTAGGGGGCGCTCCGCGCGGGGCACTCGTGTCTCCGGCCGCAGCAGCTGCGGGGGCCGCGGGGTCTCCGGCCGCAGCGAGCTCGCACCGGGCTGGACCCCGGAGCCTGGGACGCTCTTCCCGCCCTGCGGCCGGGGCCCGGGGCCGCAGCTCCCAGCCCTGCTCTGCATCGCGAGGGGCTTAGGAAAGAAGGACGTGTGTCTACACGTTTTAATTGCCGTCAAGTGGGGAGTCTAGGAAAATTTCCAACAAATTTATATGGTGTATGAGATTTGACTAAATCAGAGTTAAATTTAAAAGTGGAAATCTCTCGGAAGAAAGCAGAGCCACTAGTGTAAATCCAACGCTCCAGCATTGTTTCTGGAAGGAGGGGGTGGTCTGTGTTTGCACCGGGGATAACAAGGACTTCACCGAAACCGGAGAGGCGGTTCGTGGTGCGGCAAAGACCGCGCGCACCTGTCACACCTTACCTGTCACACATTGTCTGTCACACATTGCCTGTCACACCTTACTTGTCACACCTTACTTGTCACACATTGCCTGTGAGGGTAACTGGGAGACTCCTGCCGAGGGTCCAGTGACTATAAAAATACTGAAAACCACTGATTTGGGATCACCTTTCTCTTTAACAGTTTAAAAACAGTGGTGCCAGGGCCCCACCTAGACTGACTGAAGAAAATTTCTCTCAATGAGGCCCAAGAAAGAATATTGCTTAAAAAGTACCTTAAGTGAATGGAACCTGCCTTTGAGAGTTGAGAACCGCTGGTAATTGTGGGCCCCTCTTTGTTACAGAAACGGATGCTACTGTAGAACTGAGCTCTTTGCAGCCCTGAGGCCGGCTGTGATTCCCAGGCAGCAGAGTGGGAGGGTCAAGAGCTCAGACTATAGTGTCACATGATCTGGATCCCAGTCCTTGCTCTGACTCTGGTTGTGTCATCCCTCTGTGCCTCAGTTTCCTGGTCTGTAAAGTGGAAGTCATTGAACCTACCTGAATAATGTTCGCAGGCACATTACAAGAACTGTGCGAGGTGTTTATTACATAAATAATCTAGTTTAACTCATAAATCTTTAAGCAGAATTTTCTAAGAGTTGGAAAATCTTAATATGATACTGTTGGGTTTTCTGAGTGGATTCTTTAAAAAGGTATGCAGCAGTTCCTATGCATAATGTGACTGCTACTAGATGGGTTGAAGAGGTTCTCCTTTCATTGTTGTTCACTGACTGAGGCCTGAAAGGAGGGGGAATGGGGCTTAGGAGCTTAGCTGAATTTAGGCAAAGTCACTATAAGGAATGGGAAAGGGAACTGACTAGGAACAAAGTGAGGGTTTGCTGATCCGACTTGAGAAATCACACACTTGTAATAGAAGCATGGAAGTTATCTGATTTCCTTTAGTGGTGCTGTGGCTGGAGCCTGGAGGCAATGGTGGCTCTACCAACACTGGGATGGAGAGTGTCAAGGTGGTTGTTTCAGAAAAACAAAGGGATGAGGTATAGGTGAAAGGACTGCCCTTGGCGTTCACACTAGTGGGAGAGAAGCAAATTCAAGGGAGAGCAAGTCAGAGAACGGGGGTAGGGAGGACAGAGGATTGAGGGCTGAAGGTCTAGAACGTAGTGATCAAAGTGTGGTCCAGGGGCAGCATTGACACCACCCAGGAGCTTGTTGGAAACGCAGACCCCCTTGTCTCATTCCAAACCTACTGAGTCAGAACATGCATTTTAATAAGATTTCCAGATGATTCCTCTGTACATTCAAATTTGGTATGCACTGGTCTAGAGATCAGAAAGGTTTAGTTTTAGAGTAGGAAAGATATGGAAGAATAAAAGGTTGGCCTAGTAGAGGAAAACACTAAATGAAGTGTAAGACTTCAGAGATGATCTTTCTAAGCAAGACACTACTACAGGTAAACCATAATGAGAAGGCTGATAATTTACAATATAAATATGTATACCTTCTGTGCAGGAAAACTCAGCATAAAGGTTACCAGAAAAATTACAAACTGGAAGGAGGAATTCATAGCTCTTACAAAATCAAGAAGGGGCAAGGGACAATAATAGGCAATTCATAAATGCAGTGATACAAATGGCCATAAACACAGTAAAAGTCAGCTACCTGGTCAGCAACCAAAGAATTACAAATTAAAAGGGCATGGGCCGGCCCTGTGGCTTAGCGGTTAAGTGCGCATGCTCTGCTGCTGGCGGCCCGGGTTCGGATCCCGGGCGCACACCAACGCACCGCTTCTCCGGCCACGCTGAGGCCGTGTCCCACATACAGCAGTTAGAAGGATGTGCGGCTGTGACATGCAACTATCTACTGGGGCTTTGGGGGAAAACATAAATAAATAAAATTAAAAAAAAAATTAAAATGGCAAGGTAATATTTTGTTTATCTTATCACTAAGAAAGATTAAAAAGATTGACAATACCTGGAAATGGAGAGGATCTGGGGAAATGACATTTCTGGGGTTTTAATGGTATTATAAATTGATACAACCTTTCCGGAGGACAATCTGGGAATAGACATCAAAGTTTAAAATACACTCTTCCTTGCTAGGAATTTAAGCTATAGAAGTAATTTGAAGAAGTGCTGAGTTTATGTTAGGATCTTTATAAGCACCACTGTTTTTAATTGTGACAAAGTAGATAAACGTAAATGTCAAACAATAGCAGATTGATTATATCGGTGGTTCTCAACTGGGGGCAATATTGCCCACAGGAGACAGTTGGCAATAGCTGGAAACAGTTTTGATTGTCATGACTGGGGGGATGGTGCTACTGGCATCCAGTGGGTAGAGGGCAGGGATGCTGCTAACCATCCTACCATGTACAACACAGCCCCCACAACCAAGAATTACCCAGCCTCAAATGTCAGTAGAGATACCCTGGGTTAGATAAAGAGTATTATAGCCAGACGATAAACTATTTTTCAGCCGTAATAGTGGTGGTGTAGATCTGTATTTACTGGCTTGGAAAGATAAATCATGGAGTGGCAAAAAGCAGATTATAAAAGTAAAATGAATAGTAAGATCCAATTTTGCAAAGCAAACAAACAAAAAACTATTTCTGGCAAAAATTTAAAAGGTTACAAAAATGCTGAGTGTAAGCCCTTCGTTGCAGTGTTTGATTTTCTTGTTTGAATCTTTCTGTGTTTTCTGAAAAATTTTTCCAGTAGACATGTGTTACTTCTTTTAATAAAAAAAAAAAAAGGCATTTCTAAAAGCAAAACAGAGCAAAAATCACAGAGGCCTCAGAGACGAACAGTTCTGAATGAAAACCGGATCTAAATTTCCTTGGAGTGAATTACAGAGGGGAGGAAGGTCGCTGGAAGTGGCATATTCAGAAACTCAAAAGCTAGGGTGCCCCCCGGGGTGGCGCTGCCCAAGGGTTCTGACCTTCCCCGAGATGGAGACAGCGTCTGGAGCGGGGAAGAAGATAGCCAGGGGCTGAATGCCTCAGCAGTCGTCCGCGAGGATGGAGGAGCAGTGCAGCTGGACATCGTGGCCTTCAAGCTTTCTCTGTTTTCCTCCCAAAAGTGTCACCAAAAAATAAGAACAAGATAAAAGAAATTTTAAAAATCTACAAATTCCACTTACCCAGAAACAACCATTCTTGAAACAAATTTAGGTATTAATGAGTCCCCTCATGTGGCACATTTGTTTGTTTGTTTCTTTTTTTTGAGGAAAATTGGCCCTGTGCTAACATCTGTTGCCAATCTTCCTCTTTTTCGTTTTTCTCCCCAAAGCCCCAGTATATAGTTGTGTATCGTAGTTGTAGAGTTGTAACTCTTCTATGTGGGATGCTGCCTCAGCGTGGCTTGATGAGCCATGAGTAGGTCCGCGCCCAGAATCCCCACTGGTGAACCCCCCGGACACTGAAGTGGAACGCGTGAACTTAACCGCTGTGCCACCCGGCCAGCCCCTACACACTTTGTTTCTGATAGTTCACTATTATACTCAGCACATCCATAAATGTTCTTAGAGCTAAATCTTGGAGCACATCCTTATCTCCTTAGGAACAGTTCTTAGACATGCAATTTGAAATATTTGGCCAAGTTACTCCTATAAAATGTCAAAAGTATAATTTCAAAATGTTAAAAAATAATTCTCATACAAATACAGAGTAAACAGGTCAAGCTTTTATTTTAACTCATTCTTGAGGAAACCAGTAGGAAACAAAGCAGGTTCAAAGAAAGATATGAGAAATAATGTATTTGTGTGTGTGTATATATATCAAAGTAAGAAAAAAGAATACTGAAATCATTCTACATTATTGCTAAATTAGATGTAAATCTGATTAATGTTCTACAGAGCAATAAACTATAACCTTTAGTGATATCTTCTTTACAGAGCAGAAATCATTTCCATCTCCATAGGACAAAAATTCTTTGTATCTCTATTAGACAAAAATATTAGAATCTTACCAATTTTATACAAGTTAACATCTAAATTTCTTTTTTTAACATAAGTTTTGGTCTATGTCTATTAAAGAAATTGAATCAACAGCTAAT